AGTAAGGAATTTCCCAATTATGTTCTTACCATTCAAAGAATTTTGCTTTGGTTTGAAAGGCAGTCTAAAAGGTGATAACGAGATAGTCATCAGTAATGCTGAGAAATATTTAGGTCTAAGTATTTGAGCTGGACATAGGCAGAGACCTACAAATGAGCAGTAAAAGATGCAAACCAAAATCAAAACTCAACCAAGTTACACCCGTGCTAACAACAAAAAGCCCTCTGAGTGGTGTTTGAATTTAAGGAAACAGAAGTCCCTCTACGTATTTCTTATCAAACACCCTTCTCCAGTGAGCAGAGTTCCTTGATGGCGCTGCAGCCCAGTGCGTGCTTCTCAAACTGGACTGTGCACACAGACCACCTGGGGTTCTGTCACATGCAGATCCCACTCAGTTGATCAGAGCCAGGGCCTGAGACTCCACCTATCTAACCCACTCCAGCCCTGTCTTCTCTGTGCCCACGGTAGCCCACCCTCATGGCTGTAATGTCATCCTCACCCCCTTCCTCTCCGGCAGGCCTCCGTTTCCAGGCAGCTGTCTTTATTACCTAATTTTTTTTTTTTTTTTTGGTATCAGGGATCGAACTCAGGACCTGGAGTTCGCAAGACAGGCAGTGGAACCACTGAGCTAAATCCCCAGCCCAGGCAGCTGTCTTTAATTAGGTCAGGTGTTCACCCTGTAACTGGACAGTCTCATATGTAAGTTCAGTATCTGGGACATGTTAGGGGAAAAAACAAGATTCCTCAGTGTTTTTTCACCCTGTAATGACAAGCGCTTTGATTTGTTTGGCAGAAGGACAGAACAGTGGAAGGGCCTCAGTGCCTCAGTTTGCCCAAACATCAGATTGCCAGAACAATGCCTTGAATGGGTCTAGTGAGAGTCTCAAGAAAGCTGGTCTGTTTGGGGGCCAGACACTTGCTTTACCCTGAAGGCTCATCCTGGCCCTTAAAGAAGTCACCCAACTAATATAGGACCTAGGCCCTGTCCTGAGGAGAAGCCTGGACTTTGGTGAAATAATTCAGTGGAGCTATTAGTGAGAATTCAGTTTCCTAAAGTAAAACACTGCCCTTTTGAGGGATGGCAGAGGTAGGCACTTGCAAGATCCCTCCCTCCAGAACTTAGCATCGTAAAGCCCCAAATGTCTTTGATTCATCTGTGATTCAAAGTACGATGAGACCAAGGCCACCAGCTTCTGAGTGGGAATTCTTGAGAGGATCCAGATACCTTTGAGAATGCAGACTCCTAAGACAACAAGTTATCTGATTAGATAAATAAAGTAGATTGGCATGCCTACTGTCACTCATTTTAGATTGGATCTCTTTATTTTGTGCTTTGTCATCATCAAATTGACAGTCTGAGTTTTTTATTAAGTAGATAAGTAATAGAAAATTTATTTTAATAGCTCCAAGGACTATTGACTTTTTGAGGCTATATCTATTTGTCATAGGAAACTACTTGTTCAGATGTTTGCTGTAGGGAACTGTTACTAAACACCATTGTAACAGATTGATTTATGTTGCAACCTTGGGTGCCGATCACCTCCCGGATCTGGTTCTGATTAATTTATGCAGTTTAAACGGCCCCTCAAAGGGCCTCAAATAGGAATGTAGCTAAAAGCATTCAGTAATACACAAAGATTATTATTCTACTAAAATGAATAAATGTTGGGCCAGGGATTTAGCTCAATGGCACTGTGCCTGCCTTGTAAGTGCAAGGTCCTGAGTTCGATCCCTGGTATTGCAAAAAAAAAATAAATGTTGCCAACAATTAACTTTAAAACCCAAAGCAGAATCTCATTATTTATTTATTTATTTTTGTGTGTGACACACATTCAGCTCTTCAGGAAGTCTTTCTCTTCCTTGACCCTTTGTCTCTGCTACCTGATTTTACCTGTGTAACAAATTACCCTGAGCTTAGCTGCTTATAGCAGCAAGCTTGCATCATCTCAGTTTCTATCAGGAATCAATATAGATTTCTAGGGTTCTTTTGCCCCAGAGTCCCCTAAGGCTACATTCAAGGGGTCAGCTGGGATTCTGATCTCTCTTTTTTTTTTTTTTTTTTGAGACAGGGTCTCACTATATAATTCAGGCTGGCTCTGCACTCACTATGTAGCCCAAGCTGGCCTTGAACTTGGCCATCCTCCTGCCTCAGCCTCCTGAGTGCTGGGATTACACTTGTGCGCCACCATGCCCGGCTCCAGCTCTGATCTGTTTGGAACACCCATTCAGGGAGGAGGAGGCCCTCGTCCAGATCCATTCACGGGGTCTTTGGCAGTGTGCAGTTCCTTTCTTGTGGGATGATGATGAGCACTCGTAAGAGGATCCAGATGTCTTTGAGAATGCAGATCCCTAACTCAACAAATTATCTCTTTAGATAAAGTAGATTGAGTATCGATATGCCTATTGCCACTCATTTTAGATTGCATCTATTTATTTTGTGCTTTGTCATCATCAAATTGACAGTCTAAATGTCTTCTCTCTGTTCCTTGCCATGCTGGCCACTCCACCGAGCTGTTTACATGACAGCTTTTCACCTTCAGAGCAACGTCAGGGTGCAGGTTTGGGTCCTGGTCTTTTTTAGCCTGCTCTGTGAAGGGACATCCCATCTCCGTATTCTGTCTGTTGGAAGCTGGTCACTAGGTCTAGCCCACACTCTGGGTTGCACAAGGATGTGACTATCACCAGGCAGGATCTTTGGGGACCATCTTAATCTTTCTGCTACACACAGTAAGGACGGGGGGAATGTGAGCTGAACCCTCCAGTACTGCCAGGCTGCCATCCTTTGCCCACTAGGGTTTCTAGCACTCCTCATTCACAGTGAGCCCTGGTGGGTGACTTGATTGAGCGGCTGTGCTACAGACCAAGGACTGGTGGATAAACAGGCAGGTATCATTTGTTCTATGAAGTGTGTAAAGGTGTTTCTGTTCACTTTGTTTTTTTAAACTTCTGAAAAGGAAATTAAGAGAATGGCGGGCCAAAGCCAGAGCTCCACTCTAAGATGATAGTAAGCTTGTGGGGTGGATGGGTAGGTGGCCATGGAATTTAGAAAGGCTTCTCCCTGCATCCAGATCTCAGCTTACTCATCATAGTGTCAGGAAAGCCTTCCCTGACCATCTCATCTAGCCCCTGCTTCCCATCAAAGCCCTGAGAACTCTGACTCAGTTCCCTTCCCATTTACTTGTTTATTGTCTTTCTCTCCGAAAGAACTAATTGCCGGGAGAGCAGGAACCTCTTCTATTTGGTAATATGTCTACCCACATATTATCAGCACTTCAGATGGGGCCTGGCTAATACACAGACACGGGGAGCTTTTTGGAAATTATGATGTGGTTCCATTAATGTGCACAATATACTATTAAGAAAAAAAAACAGACTCAAAATTATGGGGTAGTTTTGTCTCTGGCACTGAGGCCTAGTAGGCCAGCCATTTGGCAAGTCATATCACCTCTCTAGGCCTCAGTTTCCTCAGAAGATAAAAGGGGACTGATGATCGGAGTCCTTGGACTGTGCTCCATCACTAGGCCCCACCTGACAATGCAAGTCCGGGGTCCTACTATGTAAAAGCGTCTCTGGTTTCATGTTCTCAATGTTGATCTACCGCCCAAGTTTGCAGAAAGGATTCTGGGCCAAAACAGTGCATGCCCACTCATGGCTATGCAACTCCATAGAAGCAGATACCCATGGCAGTTCTGATGCATAAGGGTAGAGACCCAAGGCCTCAGAAGCTTCAGCCCCGCAGAGCTAACTGGAAGAGCAGTCTGGGTGATATCCCAATTGAGACCTAGAAAGAACCCTTCCAAGAGCATAAAGAATCCTGTCCCAAAGTTTGGCCAACCACTAATAAGTTAGATAAGAAAAATAAATTCTGGTGTTCTTTTCCATAATAGGGTAACTATCGATAACAATATTGGAAAGTAGGAGAAGGGATTTTGAATGTTTTCAACATAAAGAAATGATGTCTATGACTGTAGATACGCTTACCCTGATTTACACGTTACAGTGTATACAAATATTGAAACAGCACATGGTACCCTGTAAAATCGTTCTGTTTTTACGTCAGTTAAATTTTTTTAAAATGCTGAGTAGTTTGTAGAAACCTAAAGTAAAGCATGGTCACTGTGTTTCATAATAGTGTATTATATACTTGAGATTTGCTAGGAGAGTAGATGTTTTCCCACTACCCACCCACAAAAGGTAACTAGGTGAGGTGATGGGTATGTGAATTAGCTTGGTCGTAGCAGTCATTTCACAAGGTATGCACATGCCAAGCCATCATGTTGTACATTTAAATGTATACGTTTTTACCTCCATGAAATTGGGAAAGAAAAAAACTCCCTTCTTTCCTTACACTCAGCCTAACACACTGATGCCCACCTCCTACTGCTTTTCAAATGTTAGCATTGATTTTTCTGCTTTTTTTTTTCACATTGACTTACTCATTTCAAGATTTCATTTCTGGCACCACATTTCCCACCAGATAGCCAGAGCTTTGAGCACCAAGTTTTATAATTAAAATTCTGTCACATCCCCCAAAACAGTGCAAATGGTGCCATTAAGCCTGGCAGAAAACATTTCGTAAGCATTTCACCTAGTAATTTAAATATAATACTTCTGGCAGTATGCAACTTGGGGTATTTTTAATTCTAATTAGAACACTATTACTGAACATTAATATTCTCTATATGGTGCTGTTGTGGCTCCATGCTTTGGTTTGGCCGTCAGGCTTTTAAACAAACAGCTTGGTTGGATGGCTGAAGCAGCCTACATGGTTTTTCCTGGCCTTTGGGAATCACCAGTCCCAGGCATAATTAGTATAAATCAAAATCTTCTACACTTTGACAGGGAAATGGTATGTTTGAACAGCAGCTTATTAAAATGACCTACTTAATTTAAGGAAAATACTGTATCTACTTGGATGGTAACCTGGATACCTTCTCTGACTCATTTCTCTCCCTCCTTCCCTCTCTCTCTCTCTCTCTCTCTCTCTCTCTCTCTCTCAGAAAAGGAAAGGGAATGGAAAGGCCCGTTCTACTTCATCCAGGGTGCAGACCCACAGTTTGGGCTGATGAAGGCCTGGTCCACCGGGGACTGTGACCATGGTGGTGATGAATGGAGCCAGGAGATCCGCCTCACGGAACAGGCTGTTCAGGCCATCAACAAACTGAACCCCAAACCCAAATTCTTTGTTCTGTGCGGTGACCTCATCCATGCCATGCCAGGTAAGACTGGTATTGTCGTTTATGACCTTTTCTCCTTTACACAGTCATGACCGTGTGTGGGCAAGAAAAAAACCTGATCTTGCTCCAAAGACTTCTCTATTTGGTAATGGCTCATTCCTTCTCCTCAAGACTATTGTAGTGTCACTGAACATCAGAATTTTCCTCTCCAAAGTGCAAGGAATGTAAGCACTCCTTTTATATTTAGAATTTAGCAAGATTAATCACAGTAATTAGGCAGAGCTACAGTTCTGCTGATCTGAGCTTTATATGAAAAATGGACCAGATTCCCCCATGTCACCTTTCTGTATTTCCAGGAACAGACGTGAACTCTTTCCAGATACTGTACTCATAAATGTAGCCTTCTCTCTTCTTTCTTCTTACACGTTCATTTCTCTCATATTTCTGGTGATTTTTTCAATTACAAGTTAAGGAAATCCAACTTAAACTGGCTTAAATGTTTTTAAGTACACATTGCCTCATGAGACTGTAAAATCCAGGGGAAGATCTGGGTTTCAGGTACAGCTGAATCCAAGGGCTCAGAGATTATTGTCAGGGCTTGGTCGCTCTATCACTCACCTCTGCTCTCCTCTGGTTTGCATACAGATTCTCTCTAATGGCTCTTGAGAGCTTTAAGTTTATATCATTTTTTTTCCCCCCAAATCTTAACAGAAAGTCTAATGAGAGTCAGGGGCTCGTGAGGTCAGCTCCACTGCAACCACTTGGTCTGAAGAACAGGATGGTTTCTCTAAAGAAAAGTAAGATGCCAGAAATGAAAACATAACAAATAACAAATGTCTTCTGGGACTGTCTTCCCCCTTTTTTTCCCTCTCTACTCTGATATCCTTTTCTCCCAGGCAGGGCTAAAGCCCTGTGAGCAGGTATAAGCAAGTAGAAGGTAACCCCGCCCATCATGGAAGCAGGGTCCCTTCCATGGCCTCTGCCCCTGACCTGTGTCCCTGCCTCTTTTTAGTGGAACAGAGTTGACCTGAAGATCATGCCAGAAACTTCAGCAGTGCTGTGAATGTTTGTTTTGGGCTAACTTTACTTGTAGAGTAGGACCTGCCATGATTTCCATTTCTTCTGGAAGACAAGGCACCCTGCAGGAAGCCTAGGTGCATCCGTTTTTACCCCTAAGCCTCACTTGTTAGCAGCCTTTCTGTCCAGAACAAAGGCCAGAGTGAGGTTGTGAAAATGGAAAAGGGGAGCCAGAATTTTCCTCTCCAAAGTACAAGGAATGCAGGCATCAGGGAGAACCCTCATCTTCCATTTACTTATATTTCACACCAAGTCATATATGTGCACATGTCCATGTACTTGAGAACCCAGTGATGCCACATCAGCACTGGTCCTATACAATGGTAGCAAGAGTAGGAAAAAAGGGACACAAGCCAGGGAACAAAGCTGTTAGAACCCAGGGTTGCCGGCCCCACTATGTGCTACTGATGGATGTGTGAATGCAGATAAACTCCTTAACTTCTTAGGACCCCAGTTTCTGAGTTAAGAGCCCATGGAAGCAACAAGAATTAAAAACCTCAACAGTCTGGCCTACATGGTACAAGGACAACAGCTCCATACCTCTGCAGTAGAGATTACCATCCAGCAGGTCTGTACAGAAACACATTTGCAAGGATGGTCCTGAGTTTGTCTTGTAGAGAGGTAAAATCTTAGCTGCTGGGTCTTAACTGCTTATAAACTTGCCCACCCTCAGTGACTTGTGGCTGAGAGTGTGGCCAAAATCATGCACAGGAAGTACTTCCAGAGGAGTTAGAAATAATAAAAGCCAAGGCAGTATGTTAACTGATGAATGCTACTTATTAATTATTAAGTTACTTATTAAACAGATTAATGCTACTTCCAAGTGGTCTGATGTGCAGTTAGCTGATTTCTTTGGGATATGGCTCTAAATGCACATTGGCATGTACTGTCACTCTAGACCACACGGTGAGCGAAACTTCTGCTTCTGTTGGACTCTTGAACATAAGATTTCAAATTTAACCATTACTTATTCTGTCCAGTAGTTTCTTTTCTTTAAAAACAGACTATTATGGAGCTCACTGGGAGCTGCATGGGATTATGTAACATGTTCTTGTAGCTGTTTACTGACTTGTTCTGAGTTATGTTAATGTATTCAGTCATATTTCAAAATCAGATTTAAAATAAAAACTTTCCATGCAATTACATTTCCTCTTAAATAGAATGTATTGAACACAAGGAAATTAAATCATATAGTTTTTATGATCAGTCCTAACAGTTGATCAAAAGACATTGTAAATGTGAACTGGCAGATTTTCAAACATGTATTTCATATTCAGTGAGACTGGAACAGAATTCATAATCTCTTCTGAAGATTTACTGTTTTGTGGGGTTTTAACTGAGCCAGTGAGAGGACTGTAACTGTTTTGAACATCGCAGTCTGGGAGTAAACAGAATGTTTATCATTTTTTAATATGCAATAAGTGGCTTCCCTCTCATTTAGCTCAAATAGAGGGGTAGACACTAGAAAAGTAATTATTTGCTTTGACTGCTTAGCACATTGTTAATTATCAAACGCATATATTAATAGGCAAATAAAATCAGAAAGCATTCTTTTAGTTCTACTGTAAATATCTTGGTCCAAGTAGATTTAAGTTCAGAATGAAGCAAAAGAACTTTTAGAGTACTGTTTTTTAAATGAAAGTAACAATATGCTTTTCCATTATAAATATCATCCATCCGCTAATATTCCTTGTGCGCAAAGTGCCAAATACAGAGGTAGATGCTTTGGATACATTGGTGGAAATAAGAGACTAGGTCCTTCTGTGGAGCTTAAGTCAGGCAAGGGAAGCACAGAAATAATGATAGAAAGAAGAGTGACCAGTACCAAGGCCCACAGGGACAACCCCAAGAAATTCAGTCTTCTTTGTTTTGAAACACGTGTTTTTATCCTGCTAACATTGTGGTTATCTAAGTATTTTCTTATTTTATAATGGCTCCCTATGGGATTAGCTCTATTAAAAGCAGCAAATGAAGATTTGTACAAATATGGACGCCACTGATTTTCAATCCTTCACTCTTAAGCCTGGGGTTACTTTTGTTGGTCCTCATGATGTTGTGGCATTGACCCATGGGTAGTGTCCCTAGGAGCCTTGTTAGATTTCAGCAGTTATGTGTGGAGCTGACAAATCAAGATGTGATGGTACAGTTAGGGAGCAAGAGAGTTCTGTGAGCCTTAAGTTTGCTACTGGGCCGGGGATTTAGCTCAGTGGTTTCGCTGCCTGCTGTGCAAGCTCAAGGACCCGAGTTCGATCCCCGGTACAAAAAAAAAAAGAAGTTTACTACTAACGTATAGCTGTCCATCCCTGTTTATTAAAAATTGCTGTAACCTAAACAAACATGATGTTACAGATTGAATTCATCCTTTGATGTAAAGTTGCCTCGAAGAGTTCTCTGTGTATTGCTTCCACTTGGGGAACTGTGACTTGATTCAGTTTCATGTGATGAGGTAGCCTCACAAATTCCTCTGTTCTTTAAAGGAGGCAGGCCTGCATTGGCGATATTCATTAGACTGTGTATTTGGTTCTCGTAACTGCTATAATGGCTTAAAACAACCCACATTTACTCTCTTAAATTTTTGGAGGCCAGAAGTCCCAGCATGAATCTGCAGGGCTGTGTTCTTTCTAGAAATTCCAACATCTTTTTAGAAATTCCCTTCTTGGCTTCTGGTCTCTTCCTCCACTGTCAAAGTGAGCAACATGGCATCCTCTCTCCTCTCTGACCTCTGTTCCATCTTCTCACACTCTATTGCTGTGACTGTCCTACTTCCTGGCTCTACAGACCTTTGGTACTACACAGGATCATCTCTCTATCTCAAGATACTAACTTAATCACATCTGCCAGTTCCCTTTTTGCTGTGGAAGATAACATATTTACAAATTCCAGGAATTACATTTGGGCATCTTAGTGGGAGAGAGCATTATTCAGCCCACCACAGGTAGCACAGTATGGATGGAATTCAGGGCATTTGGGTTCTATTACCTCCCAGGATCTGTGCTTGTAGCTCACCTGCTCATGACGGTCTTGCAAAGGAGATGTCATTGTGATTTTTAACTGATGGGGAAACTGGCTTGGCAGTGAAGAACCTTTCCCAAGGCCACTAGTCCTGGGCACGGTGGACTCAAGTTCATCTGTTTCTAGGCCTCATGCACTTCCCACTACAACTTACTTAGAGCTTGTTAGAAACAAAGAATCTACCAGGTGTGGTGGCGCAAGCCTGTAATCCCAGCCCTTGGGAGGCAAGGCAGGAGGATCGCTGTGATTTCAAGGCCAGCCTGGGCTACATAGTGAGTTCAGGGCCAGTCTGAACTACGTAGTGAGACCATGTCTCAAAAATAAAGAAAGAAATGCAGAGTCTCTGCCCACCCAGAACTGGTGAGTCAGAATTGGCATCTTTATGAATTTCCCCAGGTGAACCTTAATGACAATAAAGTTTGAAAAGCACTTGATGGACTAAAATGCCTAGGGGCTCTGTTTTTGTTTTGTTCTGTGTTTTGTTTATTACTTTAAAACATATGTATAATTTTCATGTGTTTGCCAATAGTTAATATAAATTTTCTTCAAGTGTTAAAGTTGATGGTTTTTAGCAAGAGAACCATCACTCCTTTAGACTTGTAGTCAGCTTTCAAAGGAAGTACTTTTTAAGTTTATAGATTTTGATTTGCTTCTTAAACAGGTTGAATTACTGACAGAGGCTTCCCTTGCCTATTGAAGACATCCACAGCAGGACATTAATAAAATATTCAGGAAAACAGGCATACACATATGCCTGAAAAGGATCTGTACATAGTATGTTCAAGAGAACTAGAACTGAGCCTCTGATGTACCCTTATCTACCCTTCCAATCTCTTTACCATTCCAAAATTCAGAAAGCTCTGAAAATTAAGATTTTTTTTCTAAAAGTAGAAACTAACTTGGTTGGCAGCAAAATTGCCCTGAACTGACATGAGATTGTTTATAGTCTTTAT